CTGTTTGTCTTTTATTATTATATAATCTTATTATATAATAATATCACCAAATTTCAATCGACTATAACTGGCATATTTATTCACAGAAAATCACAACGTCTCGGTCCAAATTCGGACCCTCTTCAGGTGAACTCTTACACAAGCATTCGACAGGCAATTCGTGACACTGTACCCGTAAGTTAGAAACTGAAGACTAGGCAGAAAGAATTTTATTTTTGCATTGCGATCGCTTAAATATAAACGTAAAAAATCTAAGTGACTTACATGATTTGTGTGTTGTCAGTAAAATTTAATATAATAATGTCAGTGTTGGTAAAATATAGTGTAAAAAATAATAAGAAGTCGAAATAGTAATAAAATTAAATGTGCAGTATATAGAGCGACACAAGTATGCAGCGCCATGTAATAGCGCGCTCGCGAGATTCTTCCTCGAGCAAGTGCGACGATACTTGCCCGCGCACGCGACGCAAAATATCCGCGAGGCTCGCGATGCACCACGAGGTTCTCGACGCGGTCCCTCCCGACACGCACACGGGACTCCCGCACACGACACGCAACAATATACCCGAATACGCAACACTAAGTACAACATCCACCGGAGCGTACCGCCCGCGGCACGCTTTCGTCCACGATTCACAAAACACGCACGGCGATAACCGCGAATTGACTGCCGATCATACGCAAGCTTTCGAGTAGGGCTTTCAGAAATGTTTCTGGCTACGATCCCGGCCGGCCACGTGCCCGCGGTCCCGACAAACAGCCGCGATAATCTTCCCGGCATCCACAACGGCGAGAGCCGGTATCTAAATACGACACGTAATCAGGCCGATTCACACGGTAATCTATTCGATATACGCATTTACTGGCGCCGGGTCGCGACCGAAATCGAGCCCTCCATTATTAGGCAGCACCGGAGCGGAGATCTTACAGTTAGGCTGCTCGCTGTTGTTCGGCGGCGTCGGGGCGCTCGTCCAGGGGTGGCTCCTCGTCCGCGGCTAGATCGACAGTGAGGAGCAGTCGGCTCGGCGGGACCACGCCGGGCCCCCGCACGTGCGCCCTCAAGCTCGCGGTTCTTCCGCCCCGTCGATTGGTCGTGTGTGTCGCCCTGTTCGCGACGTTGCAAACGATTTCCGCCATTTTTCCGCGGCCCGTTTGATTTGGCTGCTAGTTGTGCATGGGCCTCTCGCGGTTTCCCGCTCGGCTGATCAGACCGTGGCGGCGCCGCTCGGCCCTCCGGGCGTCGTCGGGTAAAGCGTGCAGGTCGTCCACCCGCGCTGCAGTCGTGGTTAAGCTGCGGCGGGGCCGTGTTACGCCGTGCGAGACATTTCCGGCGCTTTTCCAGCGTCAGGTCCCGGTGGCCCGCCCGTCGGCCGACCACTCCGCCGTGCGTCCTCCAAGCGCCCGTTCCTTCCTCGTCGCGACTATCGTCGTTACATTCGGTCGGTGATCCCACGCTCCGGCACCACCTGTCATCCCTAGGGAATTTAACTAGAAAAGTTAGTTAACGCAGGTAGCTTTTCCTCGACCTAAGTCAAGGCGCCATCCCTGACCTTCCCCTCGGCCGAGCTACCGTCTGGGCGGAGGACGCGACAAATGTCACGTCACATGTTATTGAGTTTCTTGGGAACAGTGTAAGCGACGTCAAACCCGCGACTGCTTAAAATAGCACGAATACCATCACTATAATCTTTTATGTAAGGGATAGATATAAAATTTGTTCTGAAGTCATTGGCATTAGCACTATTACCATCCTGAGTGGCCACCCGGTATTTGATTTCTTTTACAAGCATCGATTAATACATTTATTGCTAAAATATTCAGGGTAACTGTTGTTGCTAAGAATTTCTTTTATTTTAATATACTGATATGAAACCTTTGATCAGATAATAAAATCGCACGATCCAAGACCCGTTATTACGTTTTTTTTGTAGTTTTCTGGGTGATTAGATAATTAATTAATATAGCGACCACAAAAAAGGTTGGTTTCCGATACTAATTGGTAATAAAGTATATCACTATTTCTAATGACAGTTGTGTCCAGAAAATTAATCGCGTTATTATCCTCGATTTCACACGTAAACTTGTGGCAGAATTCGTAACGCAAGTGAAATTCGTGGTTAATTGAATGGTAACAAAAATGATTCGTGCTTGCACGCATGCGAAGCCGAACGCAAAACTATACTGATACGCAACGCGCGACTCGTGACGAGCGACGAGACAAAAGACAACCGCTGTTGCCGGGTCGGTACCATCTGGCGACGATTATCTATAACGTAAGGTCAGGAGCGCAACAACCATAAAAAATCCCGACACTCCCACTCGCGAGTGACCTTTACTTTATTCTGAGTGCATTTCGATTAGCGACAAACCACTCACGAGGCAGCGCCTTCGTGAAGATGTCCGCGAGTTGGTCTTTGCTCGCAACATGACGAATGTCGATCTGACCGTTCTCGAACGCGTGCCGAACATAATGGAACTTAATTTCTATGTGTTTCGTTCGACGAAGAAACACGCGATTTGTAATCAGTCTTTTAGCCGCCGAATTATCACAGAAGAGTGTCGTCGGTGACTCTTGCTTAACACCGATCGTCTCGAGTAATCCGCGTATTAAGTAATCCAAACGATCTCCTTCGTTGCATCATGAACAGCCACGTACTCAGCCTCTGCAGTCGACGTAGCCACAATACTCTGCTTCCGCGCCATCCAGATCACAGGTCCACCATTCAGGATCAACCCGACACCGCTAATCGATTTGCGCGTGTCGACACATGTTGCCAAATCAGCATCTGAGTATGCTACCAGCTGATTCGCATTTGAACCTCCGCCGGCGAACTTAATTCCGAGTTCAACCGTTCTTCGCAGATAGCAAAGCACGCGCTTTGCTGCTTTCCAGTGCGCCTCTGATGGGTTCGACAGGAACTGTGAGAAGTTGCTCACGGCAAAGGCAATATCGGGGCGCGTTCCAACAGCCAAGTACATAAGAGAGCCAATTATCTCACGGTATAGTACGTCTGCCGGTTCGAGCAATTTCCATCTTTATCTTTATTTCGCTGCAAGACGATGTGAATGTCCGATGATGTCAAGATTGGATTCGACTCGTCCAATCCAAACTTCTGTAACACGTTGCGCGCGTATGCTGACTGATGAATGCGGATTGTTTTCAATTTTTGATCGCGTCAATCTCCAATCCGAGATAACACTTCGCCTCACTATCCGTTATCTCGAACTCGCTTTTTAATTTTGCGAGCAATTCCATCACATCATCCTCGGACTGACCGGCCGCCAGGCCATCATCCACGTACAGACCGACCAGCAGCGAACCATCTTCGTTGGTGTACACACAAGGGTCGTAGTCCGTTGGTGTCAAACCGAAAGATTTTAGCTTGTCGTCGAACTTCTCATACCACTGCCTCGGCGCTTGGTTCAGACTATACAGGCTCTTACGTAAACGACACACGCGAGCACTTCCGTCATCAAAGTCCTCTGGCTGCGTCATGTAGATAACTTCGTCGAGGTCGCCATAAAGGAAAGCCGTCTTGACATTGAACTGACAAATGACAAAATTTTTCACCGCTGACACCGAGAACTGAACTCGAATTGATTCGAATCGAGCGACAGGCGCGAATGTTTCCTCATAGTCGATGCCCGGTTTCTGCGAGCAGCTCTTTATGACTAAGCGCGCCTTGAACCTGTCAGCGCTCCCATCCGGCTTCGTCTTCATTCGGAATACCCATTTGTTCTTGATCGCACGTCGATCTCTCGGAAGCTCGACCAGCTCCCATGTTTGATACTTCTTGAGTGACGCGATCTCTTCGGCCATTGCCATCTTCCACTGCTCCGCATTAGGCGACTTCTTTGCCTCGTCGACTGTCTCAGGTATCTTCTCGACCATCATTGTCTGAGCCGATGCAATTATTGCGCACAATAAAAACTTGCTTCTTGTCTGATTTGCAACTAAATCTTGCGTCATTTGTCAAGTTTGAACGCGCTCGTGCGCTCTCACTGGTCGTGAACTGTGTTTGCCCGCGGGCTTGCTGCAACTTTCCTGCGACTCACTGTCGTCGCTGCTATCGTCGACCTTGGTTGGCGTCTCCTCGATGTCCTCGTCCAATTTCTCTATATCACTCGAAATTGCTTCAATAAGTTTAGGCTTCGACTCGGCGATAATGACATCTCTTGATACGTGAACTCTGTTCGTGCCGCGTTCTTAAACGCGGTAGGCCTTCTGCTCAATTGTGTAACCGACCAAGACAACCTCTCGGCTCTTGTTGTCGAGCTTCTGTCGCTGTGACTTGTCGATGTGCATGAACGCTTGACTCCCGAAAATTCGCAGATGTGACACGTCTGGCTTCCTACCGGTAAAGGCCTCATAAGGCGTTTTGCCGTTTAGACGCTCGAGCGGTACTCGATTCCGAATATGCGCGGCTGTGCGTACAGCTTCTGGCCACCTCCGCCGCTGCAAGCATTGATCGAGCCATCTCGATTATGGTTCAATTTTGTCGCTCCACACGACCGTTTTGTTCCGGGCAATACGCTGTCGAGTGCTCGTGGTGAATCCAGTCCTTCTGGTACACCTTCTTCATTTCCGCTGACAGAAACTCTTTTGCGTTGTCGGACCGTAGGCGTTTTACCACGTGACCATGCGACTTTGCAAACGCGATGACTTCTTCGACTTTTTGTACGATTTCCGGCTTGTGTCGAATCGGGAACACGATGACAGCACTACTATAGTCGTCGACGAAAACCGCCATCATCCTCGACTTGTCGATTCCTTCAACCGACATTGGGCCGCAGATGTCATAATGAATGAGCTCGGCAGGTTCCTTCGCTCGGTTAGTCGACTCCTTGAATGGCTTCCGCGACATTTTGCCCAACAAGCAACCTTTGCACACTGAGCCGCTTCCACTCTTTGAATTCGACGCAACTTCCATACCGGTGACAGCGTTACCTCGAATCAATTTGTTTATCATTCGGTAATTAGTGTGTCCGAACCGCTCGTGTCATACGCTGGCCGGAACCGTTTTCGAGCTTGCGATGTTGGCTTCCGCACTCCAGAGCGCTCGCATTCTCATTCGATAAATGCCACTTCCCGGTTGATAACCCGTCGCGAGAATCCGATGTCCTTTCTTGAGCGTCATTTCGAATTTGCCGAATGTCGCGACCGTCCCGCGATCCGTCGACGAGCCGATACCGAACAAGTTCTTTCCCAAGTCAGGGACGTACAACACGTTAGCGAGTGTGTGTGTTATCGTCTCGTTACCGACATCGAAATCAGCGACGATCACTCCGCGTCCGCGCGCGTACACTACCTCTTTGTTACCGACCGTGATTGGTACTGAGTCATCGTTAATCGCCACGAAATCTTTGATCAACTCACGCCGAGGCGTCATGTGATGCGACGCGCCGGTATCCGCGAACCACACATCAGCCAAATTTTTGTCGTCTTGAGACACCATCAACAGGTCATCACTCGTGAAAGCCATCGACGATGCTCCTGCACTCGCGCCATCCGATTTGAGCGTTGGACACTCGGCCTTGCGATGGCCGGTCTTGCCGCAATTGAAGCACTCACCACTAAACGGCTTTTTCTCGTTCTTCAATTTTTGCTTCCGTTGCTCTTCTTTGCTATCGTCTTCGCTTGCTGACTTCCGGTCTTCTTATAATACAGCGCCGCCGGCGCCGCATTGTTGTCGATTGACAATCCTGACATTGAAGCCGACAATGCCTCGAACTTGAGCAAACGCGGGATGAGGTTTGTCATCGTCTGGCTTTCGGCAGCCATCGAGTCCCATGCCGCTATGGCGTGCAAGTACTACGGCGGCAGACTGTGCAACGTCTTCGTAACTAACAACGCGTCGCTCTGTTTTTCACCGAGATCTGCGAGCTGCCTTGCCATTTCTTCGATTCGCGCAACGTGCTGACCGATGGTCGAACCCTCCGGCATTCTGTAGTCGAAAAATCGCTGTAACGCTAACTGCTTCGTGGTGGCGTCCTTGAGCTCGAATAGCGCCGACAACCGAGACCACACTTTGTGTGAGGTATTAAAACTCATGACTTGAACTCATGACGAACAATATTTGTTTCGAGAGCGCTGATGATGAAGAGCCGAGCCTTGCGATCCAATTTTGTCCAGTCGGCGATCTTCTTCGCGTCTTCCTCGGGACATTTCAACGTTCCGTCCACGATCTCCACCAGATCGTGATACGCTAGGTATGCTTCGATCTGACATCGCCACACGGCGAAATCATCACCACCGAACTTCGGTAGCACAGTCTTTTCGTCGTACTAATGCGAACACCGTGTGATCACACTTTGCGAACGCCACACGAAATTAAGACTTGCTCGACACAATCACGCACAAACGGTCTGGGACTCTGGGCCCATAATCTGTAGCAGAATTTGTAACGCAAGTGAAATTCGTGGTTAATTGAATTGTAACAAAAATGACTCGTGCTTGCACGCATGCGAAGCCGAACGTAAAACTATACTGATACGCAACGCGCGACTCCGCGACTCGCGACGAGACAAAAGACAACCGCTGTTGCCGGGCCGGTACCATCTGGCGACGATTATCTATAGCGTAAGGTCAGGAACGCAACATCTATCAAAAATCCCAACAAAACTTTAACCTTGGATGATAATTATTAAACGTATTAAATACCTCGTCAATTCTCGATCTAGAAATTATCGCGAATATATCATCTACATATCGTAAAAACATGGAAAACTTGAATTTCAAAGTACTCAGACAAAAAACCTCTAAAACCTCCATTACCATGTCTGCGAGAATAGGGGAGAGTGAAGAACCCATAGAGCTGCCAAAGATCTGTTCGTACACCCGTCCGTTAAACACAAAACTAGTGAAACTCAAAATTAATTCTATGGCATATAGAAATTGCGTAAGGCTGAATGTAGTAAATTGTGAAATGTAACACCATCTCTTTTCAATTGCTTGTAGTACTAATTCCTTTGGAATGTTGGTAAACAATGCAGTGACGTCCAGCGAGACTAACAATTCATCTGGTAAAATTTTTAAGTTTTTGATTTTTTTAACGAATGACCAATTATCTTTTATATATGAACCGGGTTTAGGAACAGATTTATGTAGAATCGCATGCAAGAAGGATGCTATGTTGTACAAAGGGCTGCCAAGTGTCGACACAATAATGCGTAATGGAAAGTTCTTTTTATGTACCTTCGGCAACACATAACATCTTGGGAGATTCCCATTCGTGCAGCGTAAACGATTATAAATGCGTTCATCAATAATTTCGAGGTTGAGCCAAGATTTAATTAGATCGTTAAGTTTAGTTGTTATCTGATTGATCGGGTCTTTTTTTAATTTTTTTATAAGTAGTCTGATCCTCTAGCAATTCTTTTATTTGATTTATATATACATCCCTATCCATAACAACAGTAACCTGTCCTGTCAGTTTTAGTAACAAAAAAATGTCCTTATAATTGTCTAAAAACTTTTTGCATTTGTTAAATTCACTAGATAGGAATCTACTGATGTAATCGACATGTTTATTATTACTTAAAAAATTATATAGGTCAAGTATCAAAGGTTTCATATTAGTAATATTGAAATTGTTAAAGAAATTCTTAGCAACAACAGTTGCTTACCCTGAATATTTTAGCAATAAATGTATTAATCGACGCTTGGAAGAAATCAAATACCGGGTGGCCACTCAGGATGGTAATAGTGCTAACAGAGAGATGGTGCTAATGACAATGACTTCAGAACAAATTTTATATCTATCCCTTATGGTGCGTCTCCACCTGCGAGTAAAAACTCTCGAGAGCAAAAAGAAAGAGAGAGAGAGAGAGAGATACTCTCGAGAGTCTCTCTCTCTTTCTCTCTTTTTACTAAATAAAAGATTATAATGATTGTATCCGTGCTATTTTAAGCAGTCGCGGGTTTGACGTCGCTTACACTGTTCCCAAGAAACTCAATAACATTATTAGAAAGGGTAAGGATAGACTGGATTACATGAAACAAATTGAATTGGTTTACAAAATTGACTACCTAGACTGCAATGCTACATATATAGGACAAATGAAGAGACACCTCGAAACTCGAATTAAAGAACATAAAACTGATATTAGGAAACACGTCAGTAATCATTCGGTAATAAGCAAACATCGGATTAAATTTAATCACGAGTTTGATTAGGTCAGGAACGAGAATATTACATAGAGAACAAAACGTTAAGAAGAGAGAGATTGCGGAGATGTTTTTCATCAAAAAACACACACAGGCAATAAACCTATATACAGAAGGACACGGAAAATTTAACAACAATTTACTACAAAATAATAGACAATTAACCTTCACTTGTTTTAAATAATTTATGTCCTTACGCATTGTGTTATCCGCAATCGGGATATACGGACGTGCTTCCTAACACGCTCTATATACACATTTAATTTTATACTATTTCGACTTCTTATTATTTTTTACACTATATTTTACCAACACTGACATTATTATATTTCATTTTACTGACAACGCACAAATCATGTAAGTCACTTAGATTTTTTACTTTTATAGTTTCTTTGTTATTTATAATATTTAAGCGATCGCAATGCAAAAATGAAATTCTTTTTTTGCCTAGTCTTCAGTTTCTGACTTGCGGGTACAGTGTCACGAATTGCCTGTCGAATGCTTGTGTAAGAGTTCACCTGAAGAGGGTCCGAATTTGGACCAAAACGTTGTGATTTTTTGTGAATAAATATGCCGGTTATAGTCAATTGAAGTTTGGTGATATTATTTTATATTCACTGGCGAAAAAACCTTTCTCTTATTATATAATCTCTTTTTCTTTATCTATACGTATGTAAAAATAAAATAATAATATAAAATATTAATTAATTTTAGTTTTGGCTCAACTAATCGCTTATCATGCCGTAAAGAGATTAGAAAAATACGAAAAATCAACTCTTTTAGAGAAAAATCCAATTAAACGACACTGATAAAGCTAATTATCAGTTGTGTTATGTATGCAATTATCATATAATCGGTTTTTCTTTATTTATACATATATTGCACCTTGAGAAGAATACTGCCACAACTTAAAAAATTTTCGATTTTGAGTTAATTTAAGCCCATAAAAAGTACGCCCAAAATGTTACCTATGTGCTACAATAGTGTCACAAGTTTATATGCGATATCCGCTGCATGGGGCTAAAGTGTCGTTATTCTTGTAAACCAGTTATGTTGTGATTTCTTGAATAAATAGCGCTGTAAGCGAATTGACAAGAGTGAATCATAGCCGACCTCTTCAAGAAAAAATAGATGTGCTCGAAAGACTATAATTGCTTTTCTTAAAGTTCTTACGTTTTTAGTTGGCGTGACTAATTCTGAAGTTTCTGATCGTTAATAATTCCATCAAAATACAGCAAAGAGAAAAGTCAACTGTCGCGTCCTCAAAGTTTTATTGGTTGCCGTGTAATGACGTAACGAACATGCGACATCGTTATTTTATATTTTATAAAAATATAAAATCGCGGTTATTTATATCGTACTTGACCCCACGGATTTATTCTCCGCTCGCGGCGGCACAGATTAATAGACAGATAGCCAAAGGTCCGGGTTGAGACGAGATCAGCATTTCTCACTGGTTTCAGCGCCATACCGTGATTTTCGTAACGGCCAATGCAGTAACTACGTTCTTAAGATAAAGCAGGTCATTTACGGACGAAGTCGCTAACAGTCGATAAGTCGCGTTGTTAAGGCTATATTCTGTAACTCTTATAACTACAGTTTTGTTATCATATATCGTTGTGCAGATATAAATATGATAAAAAAGCTCCGCAACGACAATATAATAATAACGAATAGTTATAGAATCAGAGCACTGATCTCTAAGCCGAGAACTCCGCGTGACGTGTTAGAGAAGTTATATTGCAATCAAAATTAAGTATGTTAATTGTTAGGACTTTCAGCCCAAGAAGATCCTGCATTGTCCTGCAGTGACAGGCGAACTCGAACGCGAATACAACGCCACCCAAGCGGAACTAAAAATGTCGATAATACCAGAGAGAAACCTAGAGCGGCCACCGGGATCATCATTCCGTTCCAGCGGACGTATACTGACGCGTCGCCTGAGAAAGTGGACATCAACTACGTCGTTACGCTAGGACCTAGCGGCTAGGTAACGGTACACACATGGTTCGCGTCCGTGCTATGGTTCATGTCCGAACTACTCAGATGGAGGGGATATGCTGGTCGCGCAAGCCCCTCTTCTGTCCGTGTACATACGCTCGGCACCATAGAGATATAAGAATAGAGTGCGCGAGCGAGCTGAAAAAGCGATATAGGAATAGAAAGAGAAAGCTGCGCAGAATAAAAAGAGAAAGCTGCGCATGGGCCCCTTCTGTCTTTGTTTCGCATGCACGCGTAGACAAAGACAGAAAGGGCCTATATGCAGCGTTCTTTTTCTATTCCTATATCGCAGCCTCTTACGTGCTAGCATATGACTCGCGCACTCTATTCTTATATCTCTATGCTCGGCACTCGGCAAGCTTCGAGCGGGGAGAGAAGGACAGACATACGATCTGCTGTCTCCTTCTCTCTTGAGCTGTATCGTTGCCGGCGCGGCGTTGCCGTTAGCACGCGTCGGCTATACCACGATGTCACGCATTTCGGGTTTCGCGTCTCGTGTCTCGTGTCTCGCCGAGTGTCCGGTGTCGCCGAGTGCCGAGTCTCAAGTTGGCAAATTGACGATGCGCTATACGTTACATTCGCGTTTATATTTAAAAATTTTAATTTTTATATTTATAAATAAAT